TATCGGTATCGGCGAGTACTGAAATGCAAGTACTCGTACTCGTACTCGTTTCCAAAAAAGTGGTATCGGTGCATCCCTATAATAAAGTGTAATTCTGCTTTTAGGACAGAATGAAAAATCTGTGAATCCAGCATGTGTGTAATTCTGTACTTTTATTTAATACTGTACTTGTAATTAATTGCAATTTGTTAATTATAAGTAAATGGACTTTTCAACTGATTGCAATAAACTCATAACATGAAAATAAATAATTAATTGCAGAGTGTTATCAGGATTAGAATACTTCATTAATCCCATTATGTGGGCTAAAGTTGCTGCAAGACAATAAGAACAGCAACAGACTGAACTAAATTAAAAAATACAGCAAATTACAAAGTTTGCAAAATATAAGAAATAGCTCTATAATATAAAAATAGCTCAATTATAAATATCCAGAATTGTACAGAGATTAAATATATATGATTGACATTTTACCTTACTCTACCTGTAAGAGAACCTGTGTGAATAACCCTGATCAGCCTGTGAGGTAATACCAGAGTGACTATAACTCTGCTGGACAGAAAGCACATATTCAGCTCTGTTTACATAATTTATTTGTGCAGGACAAGGTCCACGCTAGTGTTGGCTGAGCTGAAGGTTTGTGTTTATATACAACACCAAGCAAAGTGAATGCTGATTGGTCGATTTTGGGGGAAGTGGGAGGTACAGGTTAATTCCTGCAGTGCTAAGAACAATAAAACTGTAAGCAACATAAAATAACAGAGCTCTGTTCCACTAAATCTTCAGTATCTTATATGTTGACATCTTATATCGTATACTGTATATTGTCTAACTGTACCCTGAGTGTGCAGCCAACTCTCCTCCCTAATCAATCACCAGGGCCTGTTAAACTTTGGTAAAGTAAAAACTGTTTGACGTGTAAAGAAATACAACAGTATAACAGAGAGGTAATAAAGGTGCGAAAGCCCTCTCACAGCCTTCACCTGAACAAGGAGCCTGAAGCAAAAAAACATGAAGAAGAAAGAAAAACCTTGAAGATGTGATGAGCTGAAATGCTTTGGCTGTGTCAGTAAAACTCTGAGGTAAACTCTTACGCACTAAATGTCTGTTTTGTACATTAACTGAGGTGATAAATGTCTTCGCTTAGACGGGTCAGCTGACTTACTGTCCAAGATGCTGATCAACAACATCCTTCACTCATGTGGAGACATTTGAGACATTAAGAAGAGCCCTTTCACCAGCTGAGGGGAGCTTAGTAGTAGTGTCAGTAGATAAAGCTGTCTCCTAGCTTTGTGCTTCGGTGTGTATTCATTTCCATTTGAGAACATTAAGAAGAAGAAAAGCGTTTGAATTTCAGTTTTTAGTAGACATCCCAGCCAGTACTCTCAGTACATCACTGACTGAGAGTAAATGTCACAACAGCAGTGTAGATATGAATGATGTTAATAAAAATTAAGTTAAAAGAAAGATAAACTATGAATCAATGGGTTTAAAACTCCAGCAACTGATCTCTTCCATTCAGACACAGTGTTAACAGAACTGATGCAGCTCAGAAGGAAACATGGTGCAGGTCTGGGTAAAATCCTGGATTCAGCAGTTTTTTGTTCTAATAATTCAGTAAAACCAGCAGCTTGTTAATGGGAAGCTGCAGGACCCAAAGAGCAGCTGAAGCCTGACAAACTTTATCCTATATAATCAGAAACTGCTAGAAATCAATATTAAACCCATTTTATGAGCTCAGTGTAGATATACATAAAATAAGTTTTCCAACTCATGTTAGTTTATTAAAATAGTCCAGCAATCTGTATTTTGTGTGATATTTGTAAGAGTAGTAAAGCTCAGAGATTTTTAAATCATTTTAATTTGGAAGGCAAAAAGGTCTATCTGGAGTGAACCCAGTTCAACTCTTAAATAAACTTCCTGGAGGCGTTACGGAAGCACAGAAAAAATACCTGAGGAGCAGACAGGTTTGATTTAAGCACTGAGTTCTTGGACTGATCATCAGACAGGTGCAGGCAGTGGAGACACTGAGTGCTGGCACAAAGAAACCCCTGACATCACAGTTTGTTTAATAGTAATGCATATGAAACTGTCTTGGTGGGCAAATAGCAACTTAGGTCACCTAATAAGACTTCACAATAACTTTTGAACATATTTTAAAAGATCAAGAGCAATATGGAAATTGAGGAAAATAAGGACTTACCTGCTGAAGAGACTAAATACTTGCTAGTTAAATGAAATAAAAATGAAATATGTTACCAGGCAAACAGACACACACATATTCATCTCAGATTTATTCACAGACACACAGCAAGCAAACAAATATTTAACTCCACACCTTTTGTCTCCACATCTGTCAATAACCAACAAGGAAACAGAAGCAGTGGAGGTGAAGCTGACGTAGAAATGCATGAAATGTTCTACATAATATGTTGTCTGTCCAGTTCCTGAGCATTTAAACACTTGACTCAAAACAGAAGTACCCACAAAGATTTATAGATCCAAGTTGAAGATCATGCTGTGTTAGAAAGACTGAGACAACTGAAGGAGACTCAAGTCTGTTTCAAGAGTGAAACTGAAGAGTTCAACATTTTATTCCTTCTTTAAAGTAAGTTCATTGTTTCTGATTTGCTGACAGGTATGGAAATGATGGAAACATCCTGCACTGGAACTGATTCACTGACAGTTTTGCAATCCACTAATACAAGACAGCCTGCAAGCAACAGGGAGCTTTGTACATGTAATGCAGTGTGGGCAGCTGAACTTGCTAAGATTTGACACAAGAAGGAAGCTCTGCTCATTTTTGAAGGGCAATAAATTCATGTTGTTAATCAAAACAAATTAAGTATAAAAATCTGTTGCATGTATGATTCAAAGTAAATCTTGATTTGGCAAAATGATGTGGCTCCACCATGAGCTTTGAAACATTTATATAGGCTTTGAGTTAGCACTTATGATAAATCATGTTCAGGGATGCAAATCCATAGATAGGAAGTTGTGACTATTTCACAAACTGCTGGGAAACTGTGTTGGCCCTTCTTTTGTTCTTAATCAGTTGTTTTGCATCTTTCACTGACACTTTATGGCATCTTTAGTAAACAAAAAGGAATGCAGATGGAATTTAACACCTGTCTATGAAAGGTGTCAACATAAATCAGGTTAACATGCTGTGGGTGTTCCAGGTGTGTTTCAGGATGTTGAGGCTCGTGCTGACTCTCACTCTGTTCTGTTGGGGGTCTGAAGGCAAGGAACAAGGAGCGGTGACCTGCAGAGATAACAACAATGGTCCAGTGGACTGGTGAGAAAACTGTTTAAACCTTTCATAAGTCTCCAGTGAAATAATTTGGTCTCATTCCCAACTCACCACAGGTTCCCTTTCAGTGTATGATGATGATGATGTTGTATGAGCAGGCATATCTGACAGGTTAACATTTAACCCAGGTTCATCTTATACAAGGCACCTGGAGGGAAGAACCAGAAGATCAAGTACTTTTACACTGACTCAAAATCCACAGTGTCACACATGGTCCCAGACACACCTGGCTATAAAAACCTGAACCATTCAGAAGGCATCCTGGCCAACACGCTGAGGCCAATCTTTGAGCCAGTTAGAGGCATGGTGAGAATCTTTGGTCCAGTTTTTTTCAACTAAAACACATGACAAGTGTATAAAATGGAAACCTAACCCTCTCAATACATGTACATGTGCAGATTTAATTAAAACAGGGGGGTCAAGTCAGACAACATTATCATGAAAACGTTTAACTCATTTATCATTATATTCATTTAATCTTCAGTTAATATCTAATATAATGGTCAAGTTCAGGTTTGCAGTCAGCTGTGAAAATATCTCCTCCAAGGATAATTTTTTGCGTTTGTAATTTTTCACTTTAGTTTATATAAATTATTTAGTATGTTTATTAAAACTATCATCTTTCTCAACCTAACCAAGCAGTTTGATGGTAGTTTGATTCCAGAAGCAGGAATTAATAGATTCAGTGCCATGACTATTTCACAAACTTCTGTGAGACTGTGTTGTCATGTAGGCCTGCCCAGTGTGTGCCTTTAAAGTGTTAATACAGCTTTTTTGCATCATTTATAGTCACCAAACTTTGGATTCATCAGCTACAGCGATCAACCTCCAGGATGTTGTTCAAATAAAACGTTTGGCCACAGTAAAGGTGAAGAAAGCTTCTTTTTACAGACACTGTCAAACTTCCATTATATCAAATAAATATTGGCAGAGAAAGTTTGTTAGATTATTGATCTTATACTATTAAACTGAATCATTCAAATGCAAGCAGTGCATGGATTAAAGAGCTTGAATAATATGCATCATATTCCTCATTTTATGACCAGCTGTGTAAATGTTCACTGTCCACAGGGGTGATCATGGTGGAAAAAAACAATAATGGGGTCTGGCTCTTACACAGTACACCTCAATTCCCCTTCAGAAGAGACCAAAACAAGTTCTGGCCGGACAGCGGATTTAAAAATGCTCAGACGTTCATCTGTGTAACTTTCCCCTACACCCAGTTCAGAAACATCGGTAATAAGCTCAGTTCAAATTCTGGACATTTTACAATTTGAAGCCCAGAGCTTGATCTAAATCTCACAGTAAAGATATCAAATTAAACTGTTTCCAGGTAAACATCTGCAGTACACTGCAGCTTTTCCATTTGAACATGATATTCCAGATGATTTCCATCAAGAGCTCATAGATGCAACAAAATGGGTTCAAGCTCCCCCACCGAGTAACTACCAAATGCTGACATCAAGAGAAGGTCAGCTCTTTCTTAGCATTGCTAAACAACAGCTGGAAAACCAAAAAGGTGAGCTTTCTCCTTGTTGTTGTTCTTTTGTTGTTGTTTATTTTTTGTTTGTTTTTTTTTAAAAAAATTTTATTTCTTGGTTTGTTTTAGCACATGCTACATGGTGAAAATGCTCAGAAGCTAGCAGATTCAGATTTCAAATTAGGTCTTGTATAGGAATTTCTTTTACTTATGTATTAATCACATTATTTTATTGTATAATGCCTTGGTGCCACTGGATTTTAACATGTCTGACACCCATACTGTAAGACAAATGGTGGGGGTGTAGTAAGGAAGTTGGGGGGAGCAGACCACTCCACAGGAAGAGTCTTTTGTCTCTTTGAGGACTCTGGGAGGTAGCAAGGGAGTGTGAACCTAAAGGTGTGAAACAGCTGTGTACTGCCTTTTGTTCCTGGAGAAGGTATTTAACTGAGAGCCATGCTAGGCTCAGGGAGACTCTGCTGACCCTGCCCCGCGGTCATGTAGGCTCTCCACAAGTTTGGTGTTCTGTTCTTTGGATTAAAGAATGTTAGCTACCGCTCGTCTGCAGGCTTTATTTAAATGTAAAACTTCCACAACAGTCTCTTTTACCTTTTGTCAGTTTTTGTGGTGAAGTGGTTTATGTTTTCCAAAGAGGGAAATATCTATAAAATGGCTGGACTTCAGCTGGACCAAAGTTTAAACTTCTTAACTTTCATCACTACTGATTTGGTGAATGTTAAAGTAGTAGCTATGTTTAAGCTTTTAATGTGTTACAATGATGTTTGTCTGGTTTGAAACCAGGAAAGCTTCACTGACCAGCACCAGCATAGTTAAATGGTGATGGGAACGAACGTCTTGGAATGGCAGAGGAAGGTTATCCTGCAAAGACAGGGCAGGTTTTAGGAACAGCTGAGCTCAGTGCCACTTCACGCTTTCTTCTTTTTCACATCCAAATAGAAATTTAGGCCATGATATTTTATGCTGCTGACAGTTGCTGCATATCTAAAATCTACTTTCTGCATTTGATTCTGCTTCTGACTTAATGTCTGATTTGTTTACATCGATGCCTTCTATCCTGTGTGCGGGGGTCCTGTCGCTGTTCTCCGGCGTTCCATGTATGTAAAACAAAGGACACAAAAGACAAAGAACAGAAGGTACATTTTCTTGATCGGATTACAGTGTTTGAGAAGAGATGAGTGAGAGTGAACAGGTTTTACAGCTTTAAAGATTTTAAAAAGATAAAATGTAATTGCTCCTTAATTTTCTTGCAGATGGAGACCTGTACTACACCATTGCCCAGTTAGTCAAATATGATGTGCATGTGCAGACATGGGTTGACAACAGGGGTCGAGAACCTTCCTACTGTTCAGACCCACTTCACAAAGTGTACAATATTAACACTATAAAAAGGGTTTTGGGTGATGGGAGTACATGGGGCCCTACAAGGGACCATTCAAAGTGGTGTGTGACCAAAAGTCCAAACAGACCCTGGACCTGTATAGCTGATGTCAACAGGGTTGAAACCCAATACGAAAGACGAGGCGGGGCGCTGTGCATTGTGAATGAAGCAGTGAGAAAAAAGTTCCTGGAGTTTGCTGAAGACTTTGAAGACTGTACAAGTATTAGGACCCCAAGCATCATGGACACTCACTATGAATGTGAAACTGACTGCGACACTGACTGTGACTGTGAAACTGACTATGGCTCTGACGGTGACATGGATATGGGCACCTGCATGCGCCCTCAAAAGTAGAATACAGTTGGTTCAACAACATGTTTCCCTGTTAAATTTCCCAGTCTTGCTTTTTAATTAAAGATAAATACTTTTAAAAGTGAAGAAAAAACATTTTCATAATTTCATAAATTATGACACAGACTGTAAAATCTGGACAGGATTTGAGTTTGTTTGAAAAGATCAGTGAGAAACAAAAAGGCATTAGCTACTGCCCACAATAACTGTACTCAGATTAGTTATGAGAACAGACTGTTTTAGGGAGCTAAAGTAAATTAACTCTGTCACCATGGTTTCGTGTTATGTTTATTATGGTCTTGTTTGTAGTAATTTATTTTGCAGTTATTAACTGTTTCCGCAGCGCCCCCTGGTGTGTGAATGTCTGTATCTACAATGGCGAGAAAGTGTTTGCCCTCATTCCTGATTTCGTTTCTCTCTTTTTTTGGCATCTAATGAAGGTGTTCATGATTAAGGGGAAAAAATCCAAACCTACATAGCCCTTTGTGAAAAAGTAATTGGCCCTTAAACCTAATAACTGGCTGCTTCACCCTTAGCAGCAATAACTGCAATGAATGCTATTGACACCCTTTTCTCAACGAGAAGTCTGGGCTCGGGAGAGCCCGAGTGCCCTGGAGGGACTTTCCCTGCTGGATACACGATGGACGGGTGGCAGAACTGGAGAGTCATGTGCCTGGCGGGACTGTCTATCGAGGACGCTGAAGATATCTACCTATTTGGAACCATGATAACAGGGTTCTTGCTGATCGGAGCTGGCTTGGCCCTGGCTTATCGGAGAATTGAGAGAGGGCTGTTCAAACCCCCCCAAGGCTGCCCGCTGGAATTGAAGCGATGGGACGAGGCGCGACCTCTCACAACGAACGCAGCTTGGTTAACACCTTGGAGACGCTTACAGCTGCCGTGAAGACTCAAAATAACACCATTGAGCGTATGTTTCAAAGAGAGGCCTGCTCAAAATGAGACCCGTGAGCGGAAGTTGGATCACATCGCAGAACGGCTCACTGCAGTTGTGGGGTCTCAGAATCAAAAGGAGGACAACACCACGGAACGGAAGTTTGATACCATCTTGGGGAGGCTCGCGGCTCTCCAACGGGAGATTGAGAGACCAGTGTCAGAGTGTTAAAGAACAGCTTTGAAAATTCTCCTGAGCTGCTCGCATAAAAGAAAAATCATCAACATTAACATGCGGACACCTCGGCGCCAGCTGCGGGTCCAAGGCTGGAGCCGAACAAAACAACTCCCTGATAACGACTGTGTGATGACTATTCTTCCCATCCCATGCAAGGCCACCTGGGTTGGCTAGCAGACTGTTTACTTAGCCTGATAGGGTGAAGGACACTGTCTCAGCTGAACTCTGGACACGCACACACATACACTTACACTGATAAGCACGCACTCATCCCCCTCCCTTTCCAAACGCCTTCGATGCTTGTTTCCTGTGGGGGAAGACGGCGGGTCTGTGTGCCGCGCTGGAATGGTAGCGCTGTGCAGGATGACTGCTGTGTTTCCTTCAGATTACTCCTCACCCCCTACCCAACCCTGTGGCTTGTCACGTGCTCCAATGTTGTAATGTGGACATTTATGTGCTCTCTTTGTTTCCTGTTCTCATGCTGTCCTCCCATAGGTGCCCAGCATGAGTAGAGGTCTCTTTTTTTCCTCTTGTACTTTCCCCATTGTTGTGTATTATTTCAGTGTTTTCTCTGTAACGCAGAATTTATGGTTTCATTTATCACAGCAAGTCCCTAGACCATCACACTACCACCACCATATTTTACTGGAGGACTTACAGGAAGTCCACGTCATGTCAGGATCTTTGCAATAAATTGCCTGTTAATCTCAGAGTTTAGTTTAATGAAATTTAATGCTCTTAAAAATAGAACTTTTATACGCAACAGAACAGGGATCAGTCAAACATTGGTCTCATTGTCATATTTGAATATTTTTCTGCATCAGTGATCCTCTCTAAGCATCCCTGCAACCTTTGAAAAGTAGAAGACTTCAGATCTCTTTACTCAAAACTTGCTGAAGAAGCATTTTTATCTATAATTATCTATTTAAAAAGAGTGTTTCCATGCTGTAAATGTATGAAATTACATTATTATGCTGTCAACTGTAATTTTTAAAGGTGATGTTTAAAGGGATTTTGTGATATTATTGTGACTGGTTATATGATTGGGGCAGTATTGACTGTGGTTATGATCCGCCTGTTCACCTGGAACCAGCAGGGAGGGAGCGGGTGAATATGGGTCACTGCAAAGTGTCATCTGATTTGGGGAGCTTTAAATTGCCCTTTTGAGTTTGTATTAAGTTGCTTTCATGATTTTTTTCTTTAATTAATGAAGATTTCAAATTATTTTTCAATCTTGGTGAATCATTATTCCTCATTACATATCACAAGCTTCAAGTTTCAGCCTCTCCATTAAGTCCATGAAGTCGCTGTGTCATCATTGATGGCGTACATTCTGTTTCAGCCACATTCCCATAAATCACAAAGCACAAATCTTGGTGAAAAGCTATTTGAGGTCTTGATTTTGGGAGTTTCAATTGTTTGATTGATACTGGCAAACACACCAGCATTGGACTATTAAATTCTCACTGCTTGCTGATAACAAATAAAGAAAGAAGCAAAAATCAATGAAACATTTTATTTCACAGATTTTTGTAATAACAATGTCCGTGGGAGATGAGAGTGGGAGGATGTAAACCGTTGGTGAATTCCAGTCATATGATGCTAATGCTTTGTGACATCACACATTAAACAGGAAACAGGGTAGGTGGAAAGGTGCAGGGTCCATCAAGCTCAAGCAGACTCAGCAGTTCCAGCTCAGCAGGCTCTGTGATCACATCTAGTAGGAAAGTGATGATAATGTAAGCTGCTCGTCATATGTACTACAGTTAAAAAGAAAGATGAAGATTCAATTTATTTTGACCCTCATTGTTTAAGAGTTGATCAAAATCAATGCTGTGTTAGATTCAGTCCTACAGTGCTGTGCAGGAAACTGTGAGCAGGACAGAAGAGAAGAGCTGCTTTCTGCACTCGAGCTAAAGCTTTAACATCCTCAACAAAGAGCAGCTTCACTCATCGTCGACTCTCACAGTTTTGACTGATTTCCTTTGATATGATACACAAATATAAGCTTATTTAGTATTACATGTATGACTCCTGATATATTAGCCAAGGGGAGGTACATGTGCAGCTCATATTGCGCACACACTGTAGTGGTACAAAATATAAGAACTGAATGTTATTAAAGTAGCATTCGGGTTATGTAGAAGCATACAGAAAATGTTGACAGGATTGTTACAAATGGACAACAGAGCCCCAAAGTCAAAATAAGACCCTAAAATCTCCTTTTGAATTTCTACGGTCTGATATTATTGAGTCTGAAAGCTGCAGTGTTATCTGCTGGAAGAAGTTTCAAATGTTAATTGAAAATTTCATATTTCTGCTATCAGAATTACTCTGCTTCAACAGAGTAGAATAGCACAGCTACTTTACTGTCATTCAGAACATGCACCAGTATAGATAGATCGATTTTTTTAAAACTGTAGAAAATTAGAAATAAATATATTGTATAGTTAGTATTCATTACCATTTCAGATACATAGCACATTTAAAACAGTGCAGGAGCAGTTTCTCTTTTGAGAGAGGGGAAGGGGGAGTGGTTGCGGTGGGCTTGCTGTGTGTTATTAAGAGTTCAAGAGCCTGATAGCTTGGTGAATTAAAGTAATGCAGATTCTGGCTCTCCTGGTCCTGATGCTGCAAAACCTCTTCCAAGAGGGCAGCAATGAGATGGGTGGGGTGGGTGGATTCTTCGATGTTGTTATGGGCTCTGCTGAGACAGCATTTGTGTTTGATGTCCTGAATGGATGGAAGAAAAGTTCTGATCTAACCTTGTTAATGTTGTCTAATAACTTCTAATCAGACCCTTCACTGAAAGATGATGACTATCTTACAGCTACAGCAGAGATGGGTTTTTTTTCAGTTACTGTTAATAGTCGAAGTTCAGTCATAATTTCACATTTAACTGGTAGAATGTCTGTGAAGGTTCTCAGTCATCCAGGTCATCGTAGTCAAAGGAGCTTGCAAAGAAAAAGCGTCTGGACTTCTTTAAGTTGCTTGAAGACGTTTCACCTCTCATCCGAGAGGCTTCTTCAGTTCTAAGGTCAAATGGTGGAGAGTCCC